GAAATGAACCTGATGGATTTGCTTAATCCCTATATAGAACTGAAATTGTGCTTTATATAGCTTTATTTCATTCAGTTTTATGAAGTTGAATAGTGGCTTCACTGCAACACTTGTTGGTCCATTCATTGTATAGCACATTTTACAAAATGGTTTGCCTCCTTCTCAAAACAATTCACATAAAATCAAAGCATTTTACATTAGTAACAATGAAAGAGGAAAAATTTCCATTTCGTTCCATATCACAGTGACAAATCATGGGATGTTTCAGTGAGGATTCATGGGATACATGCTGTATGTGCTCTGCTTTTGCCTTCTGTAAATGACCTCTAATCAGCAATTGTCAGCATGACATGGAAACCATGGGCTGCTATGCCATTTAACTCCTAAATGACCCTGGGGTTAACCCATGGTGTTTTTGTTGGGTTAAGTACTGGGTTGCACTTGAACCAGTGATCTGGGTTTGCATGTCACACTGAGAACCTGATTACACCAGTTGAAGGTTCGCAAAAAAATGAGTGAAGGTTCCATGCAGGGCACATTCTATTCATGCAAATGATGTGTTAGATAATAGTTTATTCCCATAGTATGTGAATAATTTCAATCTGTTCTGGCTCTGGAGTTTTTCCTTCCGAATATTTCTGTAATATGTAGTATCGACGAGTTAAAATTTTGGATTTTCTCCTTACTGTTTCAAGTTAGAGCCTGAAACTCAAAGAAATGTGTACATGTCCACTTGTATATTTAGGTCACTTTTTTTTACCAAACGCTGGTAGAAAGTGCAGACCTCTTAATGGAAGACTTTTTTGTGTGCTTTAATACGTCTTTGTTTCTTGATTAGTCAAAAGGGCTGTGTTACTGGATTTCTTCCTTTGCAACTTCAAGCAAGTAGAAAAGCGACATGTTTCCCCTTTTCCCAGTGACTGGAGATGTGAATACCTGAGAAAAATGCTGAAAACTTTTGGAAAGAAACCATTTTTCCCTTGAAGATTTCTCCCTTTTTCCACATGAGAGAGAGAGAAGAAGAAAAAAAATGAAAATGAGAATGAAACATGAGCTGGGTTATGATACCCAGACTAAAGTACCTTTTTAAGCTTTGCTGAGAATGTGTAACATATTCCAGACATCTCTCTTGTGCCCTTCCAAGCTTGTCCCTTGCCCCATTTATTTTCAAAACTGAAATAAATAAAAAAGCTGCTGGAGGTGGGTGGGGCTAAAATGCTGCTGAGGGCAGTGCTGGCGTCCAGAGATAGCTTTATTTTTGATGCCTCAGAGAGTTAATTAATATTACTATTGTATTTCTACCCTGCATATTACATTGTATTTATACACTGCCTTTTTCCCTCTTCTGAGGCATATAAAATGATTACATAGTTCCATTTTATTCTCACAACAACCCTGTGAGGTGGATTGGGCTGAGAGTCTGTGACTGGCCCAAAGTCTCCCAGAGAACGCCATAGCTGAGTGTGGAAAAGAAACTAAATTTACTGGATTCCCAGTCCATCACACTTAACCACCACACCGCACTGGCTCTCTTAGTCAGTTAATTGTCTCTGACCCTCGTTATCAATTTGTGCAAAAAATTGTAAATTCAAAAGAGTAATTTTGTTTTGTGGCATTCAGACAAAAGAATAACTTTGTGGTTTGGAATTTAGACCCCATCTCTACCTTGTTCTTTTAGTCTCAGCAGATTGTTCCTAGTTGTTCTTGTTAATCGCGAAGTCGTCTCCAACCCATCGCGACCCCAAGGACAACATTCCTCCAGATCTTCCTGTCCTACACCTGTCATTAAGTCCACTTAAGCTCACGCCAACTGCTTCAGTGACACCATCTAGCCACCTCATTCTCTGCTGTCCCCTTCTTCTTTTGCCTTCAACTGTTCCCAGCATTAGGCTCTTTGCCAGGAAGTGAGAGGACTGGATGTCATGATCTTCGTTTTCTTAATGTTGAGTTTCAAGCCAACTTTTGCACTCTCCTCCTTCACCTGCATCAAGAGACTCTTTAGTTCCTCTTCACTTTCTGCCATTAGAGTGGTATCATCTGCATATCTGAGGTTGTTGATATTTCTTCTGGCAATCTTAATTCCAATTTGTGATTCATCTAGCCCCACCTTTCTCATGATGTGCTCTGCATATAAGTTAAATAGGCAGGGCGACAGTATACAGCCTTGCCAAACTCCTTTCTCAATTTAAACCAATCAGTGGTTCAGTGTCCAGTTCTCACTGTTGCTTCTTGACCCACATATAGATTTCTCAAGAGACAAATAAGATGGTTTGTTACTCCCATCTCTTTAAGAACTTGCCACAATTGGTTGTGATCCACACAATCAAAGGCTTTAGCAGAGTCAATGAAACAGAAGTAGATGTTTTCCTGGAACTCCCTAGCTTTCTCCATGATCCAGCGTATGTTGGCAATTTGATCTCTAGTTCCTCTGCCTCTTTGAAATCCTGCCTGTACTTCTGGTAGTTCTCGGTCCACATACTGCTGGAGCCTAGCTTGTAGTATTTTGAGCATAACTTTGCTTGCATGTGAAATGAGTGCAGTGGTGCAGTAGTTTGAACAGTCTTTGGCATTGCCCTTCTTTAGGATCAGAACTGACCTTTTCCAATTCTGTTGTTGAGTTTTTCAAATTTGCTGGCATATTGAGTGTAGCACTTTTACTGCATCGTCTTTTAGGATTTAGAATAGCTCAGCTGGAATACTGTCGCCTCAACCAGCTTTGTTGTTGCTCAGACTTCCTAAGGCCCATTTGTCATCTAAGGCAGAGGTTTTTCTGATCCTTTTACAAACTTGATTCTTTTAACTAGAGATGCCAAGAAATAAACCCAGTACCTTTCTCATATAAAAAATATACTGTAACACTAAGCTTCAGAACCACCAACATCATGTTAAATTTCTAGTTATGACAGAAAATGTTTCATATAAAGCTGGCACAAAGTTATTTTCTCCAGGATGTAATGATTAGGGGTATGCTGATGCTAGGACAGAAATAATTGAGGATTCTCTGCCTCTTTAATCCAATGATCAAAAACAGGTAAAGTTGGGCCTTTTTCCACTGACAAGCCATAGTTTGCACATTTTTAAAGAAATGCTAAGGATGTTTGTGGAAATGGTACTATATGTATACAGTTCCATAATTTGCATGTTTCATGGTATTTTCTGTGTTTTGCGTAGCTCAGTGAATTGGTTCTAGTGCAATTTGTGTAAAATCAGCTGTTTTGTGCAAATCAGCATCTGAGAAGAGGTTGGTCCTCTCATAGGATGACAGGACCTCTTGCTTTTTTTGTATGGTGATTTGTATAAATCAGCTGATTTTGTGCATGTATCCTAGGGCCTTGATTTTTGTGTTTTGAATGCTTAAAGGCAAAAGTTTACTAGTTGGCTTGGCCTGTACCATAGTTGGTGCTAGTGCAAGACTTGCAAACTGGAATTTGGGGTGGAAAATCCATCAAATTTTCATACACATTCTCCCATTGGATTGCTCACATTTCTCATTTGTTGTGATAAGACTTTTTGCTTTGTTAACACTTTGGAGGCAGACTTTATCAGTGAGATGTCAACAGAAGATGCCATATTTTCTATAACATTTTTTGTAATGTTTAAGGTCACTGTGCCAAGAGTTTTTTATTAGTTGCACAGAGAAGAAAAACATTGCTAGCTTTTGCTCAACATGCTCATTTTACTAAGTTAAAATGTTTTCCTTTTGAGGAGGCTTACTGAAGAAGCATCTAGTGTTCTGTGCATGAAAGCTATGAAATGAATGAATCTAGAGAATTCTTAGGCACTGGTAGCTGATACTTGGGATGTAACTCCATAGCCAAATCTTTGAAAGCTAGGTTAGTTTTTGCCAGTATTATGGTGAAAGCGCAAAACAAAAGAAAAAGAATCAGTTAAATGATAATTCCAGTGATGCTAAATTATAGGGAAGCAGCTTTTCCCATCAATTATATACTCTTAAAATTAAGGGTTATAACAAACTGTTAGTGGTACTTGCATCCCAACACCGCTCTCTTTAATCTTCCTTTGATTGTGGCTTGTATTACTTGCTCTTCAACTGGACGAAATGTTCTTTGGAAGGTGTTTTTTTCCCATAGTCATCCTGAACATTTCAAATGGGATGATTCCCCTAAATTCTGGTATAATAGGAAAGGAATTTCAGCCACAGTAGTAACATTGAATGACTTTAGTACATTGCTGCCTTCTGAATATTTAATTGCTGCCACTGCCTCATAGCAGTTCTCTACAGGGGTGATTTTATATAAAGTATAAGTTGGTAATTATGTTGACTTTTAGTTTGGTTAGAATGTTTATTTTGGCGCTTTTGGAGCAAAACCCACAAACTTGTTCATTAATAGGTGAATTCAGTTATTCAAACTGATGGTAAGCCTTCATAGCATTGCATTTGTCAGGTTGGATCTTAATAGAACCAGGTGCTAGTCCCCACTTGGCAGTGAAGCTTGTGGAACAAAGGTTGCACAACTGGTATCCTTTTGTGCCAGGTACAGCAGCACAGGCAAATGCTGCTACATGTGCAGCAGAAGAAGGATGTGACTTGTGCAGTGCATCAGACTTGATTCTTGGGGAGTACCCCACAAGTGCCAGGGGTATTTACCAGAGCCTTGGACTCAGGGCTGCAAGAAACAGTGAGGGAGCCAAACCCATGGAATCTGAGTCCCACCCCCAAAATGGATTCCTCACAAAATCTCTGAGATTTTATTTTCAGTAAAAAATACTGCTTGTCTGAGCAAGGACAATGACTTGTCTTTAAGCTATCAGCCTTCTGTCAAGTAATTGATGATCATCTTAGAAACAGAGCACACTTTAAGAGCATAATTTAGTTGGGGTTGTGGCTGGGAATTTTAGGACACTTTTTGTGTCTCAGCATGCAAGATTGTTTCCTGAGAAAGTCAAGAGAGAATGTTTTAGCTGACTGTCTCTTCAAGGGTGTTGCATGGACACAGTTTCTTTAAGTTGTGCCCACCAATGCCATATTTCTTTTGCAGACCCCTCTGATAACCTAAGAGAGATTCTCCAGAATGTGGCCAAATTGCAAGGGGTTTCAAATATGAGAAAACTAGGCCACTTGAATAATTTTACTAAGGTAAGAATTTTGATAACTGTATAAATATTTTTATTTACATCATGCTTATGAATTGAATCTAAAAACAGCATTAATGTTATGGAAAACTTGTGAATTAACAATGTATGAGGGGCGTTCAATGTATTCTCGGTATCAGCATAAAGAAAAAGGAATAATAAATTGAAATAATTTTTATTTTTCAATGTAATCCCCCATAACTTCAATACACTTACTACATCTAGAAATTAACTTTTCAATTCCCTGTAAAAAAAAAATACCCTTCCTCCTTGTCTAAAAAAAATGTGTGTTAATTGCCGCCTTGAGCTCTTCATCATCGGAAAATCGCTTTCCAAGAAGATCTTTTTTTAAATTCTTGAATAGGTAGTAGTCACTGGAGGCCAGGTCCAGGCTATAGGGTGGGTGGTTTATTTCTCAAAACCATAGTCTCTCACAGCAGCCTTCGAAACACATGCTGTGTGAACGGGCACATTGTCGTGAAGAAGCAACACACCTGCGGTCAGTTTTCCCCGCCTTTTTTCTTTAATTGCTTCTCTTAAATTATGCAGAGTGGTTGCGTAAGATGCTGCATTTATGGTTTCACCTTTTTCCGTGTACTCAATCAATAAAATTCCCTTTGAGTCCCAAAACACTGTGGGCATGATTTTTCCGGCTGATGGAGTGACTTTGAATTTCTTCAGAGGGTCAACACCATTTTTTTGCCACTGCATGGACTCCTGCTTACTTTCATGGTCATAGTGATGAACCCAACTTTCATCTCCAGTAACAATCTGGTCGAAAATATTCGATGAATCTTCACCACAGAGCTCTAAAAACTCCTTACAGCACTTGATTCACACTTGTTTCTGAGGCGCCTCATGAGCATTTGTGGCACCCATCTTGCACAGATCTTTGAAAGGTTAAGATGGTCATGAAAAATAGTAAATATGGTACCAACAGATAGGTTTGTCATCTCTGCTAACATTTTGATTTTTATTCGGGCATCTTCCAATACAAGTTTCTCAGTTTTTTTCACATTTTCTTTCGTAGTGGTGGTAACCGGCCTACCTGAGTAAGGGTCGTCTTCAATGCTTTCTCTGCCCCTTTTAAATTCACTTGACCACTTTTGAAAAGTAGATAATGAAGGTGCAGAGTCTTGGTAAATGGCCAACATCTCTTCATGAATGATTTTTTGACTTTTTCCTTGTTTTGTAAGGAACTTAATCAGAGCATTGTGCTCGATTTTCTTCGGCATTGTTGCATCAGTCATCATGGTTGACTTTCACTGAAGATTACTAGGGAACTAATGATCACAATTATTTGAAATTTTGCATATATACCCTCGGATAGTGTCATTAGCTAATGAAATAATTAAATTACCCACTTCAATAGCAAATCAGCCCAATACCGAGAATACATTGAACGCCCCTCGTATTAATGGAATGATAAAGGACTCAAGAATCAGTGTACCATTTCAGGAATGTTAGCCTGCTGCTTTCTAATTCATCATTTACAAAGTTCCTAATACAACTACTTGAGCAAGAATTTTAATACAGTGGGAATGAACAGTACCGAATACTTTCAGTCAGAAGAGTTGAGGTTCATATTTTATGAAGTTTAAATTATGTTAGCATAATTTATGGATTATTATTTCAAATGTTGATGGAAATGGTAAGAGCGTAAGATTTTGAACAAATGGAAAGAAATACTGAGCATGCTATTCAAGCTTGCCTGAGCACCTGCCAGTGCCAGCTGCTCCACAAGTGCCCAGGCAATATGTGGCATTGGTAGATGTCCCCTACTATTATCACAAGCTATTTCTGCTTGCCATGGCATTTTATTCCTTTAACTTTGGTGTGAGGGACCACAATTTTGATGGAGATTTGTAGTTATAACATATGAGCTACATGAATTGACATTGATAGCTATGAATGCCAATAGTATTGAAACAGCATACATTCAGTTTAGACTGTGACCTATTGATTTTAAATAGTAATTGGCTGTAATAAGGAATAAGTAAGTTTCTCATCAAACTGTAGCTAATAGAGATTACCTGACCTAATTAAAAAAAGCTGTGCCTATAAAATTTGTTGGACAAGGTTAGATTTGAAAACATGACAGAATTTCTTCAATCATAAATGGTTGGATAAACAACCATGTATTTTTGGGGAGTGTGATTAGTGAGGCTGTTTGCCCACATCCATTGTGCTGAACAGCGCAGGAAAGCTCTGACCCTGGAAAGCAGACCTTAAATTCTGGGGTTGAAATAACTAAAAGAACAGCCATAGGTTCAAACTCTGAGTTATTTCTCCCATAACAGCCCCAAACTTATGAGTTTATATGTCACTGCGAACAAACCAGCAGGAGCTCAGCGGGTGATCTTACAGGCCAGATAGAAACATATGGGACAAGGCGTTCCTTCAGCTAACTTAGGCCCAAGCTGTTTAGGGCTTTCAACTGCCCAACTTCAGCTGGCAGCCAGTGCAACTGAAAGAGGACTGGTGTGATAGGGTCTCGTGAGCCAGTCCCCATTGGCAGCCCTACTGCACTATTTATTTATTATGATGTCATCAATTCTAATTTAAATACTATCTTCAGTTTTTGTGTTTTGAGTGAAGATTTGTTATTGTATTAAAATTCTGAGTTAGAATTATTTTATGTAACTGAAGCCTGGAAATAAATATTCCAGTGTACCAGCGTCCCAGTCTCAGGAGGACTGCTTTTTTTCAGTACTTTTGGAACAGGAGTATTGGTATTTAGACCTTTCAGAATAAAGGAAATTTCAGGAGGGTTCCATTTCAGAAGTGGAAAAGTGTATCTTCCTCTTGGATTTTTTTCCTACAGTTAGACTCATGTGTTGAACTGCTGTCTATTGATGGTTAACTTGTTAACCATTAGACATAAGATTGAACATCAGATAGGGCCTTTTTTCCTTAAAAGTAGCTTTTCTTTTCTTGAAAATAACAATGGTAGGAATTTTCATTTATATGTTTCTTTGTATATCTCTGTACTTGAGTTTTTTTAAAAAATCTTACATATGTATCATGCCTTTTCTTCCTACAAGAAAGGCAGTGTGGCTTACCCAATGGTTTTCCTCTCCATTTTATCCTCACAGCAATCCTAGGTTAGTTGGTAGGTAGTTTAATCAGTGACTGGCCCAGGGTCATTCAGTGATCTTTTGGGCTGAGCATAGACTAGAATTCAGATCTTCTGAGTCCTGGACCAGCAGTCTATTCACTATACTAAACTGACTTAATCTCCATGCTGGGACCACATTTTGTAATGCCAAGTATAAGAAATATTCTGAGAATGGAAAGTATTTTAACATAGTTTAGTGGAATGCTTATAATGTTTGTATTATAAGCATTGCCTTTCTCTGCGTGGTTCCCAATCTATAGAATGCGCTCCCCAGAGAGGTCCGCCTGGCGCCGTCGTTATATGTTTTTCGGCGCCAGGCCAAGACCTTTTTATTTAAATGGAATTTTAATTGTTAGCTTATTTATTGATTTTATATCTTTGGCCAGGGCATTTCCAATTATATTGTTTCTATATGATTATATGTATTTATTGTTGTAAGCCATCCTGAGGCTTCGGCGAATGGGGCAGCATAGAAGTTTACTTACCAACCAACCAAATAAATAAATAAATAAATACTGTTTAAAAATTATAAGCTTCTGATTTATCACTGCTTATACAGGTATTAGAGAGCCACAATTAGCTTCATCTCACTGGCCTGTCTGTATTATGCATGCATTTATATTCAAATGTTTGTAGTATAGATAGGATTTGTTTTTTTTGCTTGTTCACCTAAAAAGTGTAATGAGTGAACTGCAGAAGAATCAAGGCTAAGAATATGTATGTTTGGTACTTCTGTGAAATCTTCCTAGGTAGCTGCCTTTTTGGAAAATTATGTATAGCATGAAAAGGGAAAAACACTTTGAACTTTTATCCTTTTTATTCATTGTTATCCTCAAACAGCTTTCACTGAATACAGGTTACAAGCTTTTAGAGCACTTGTGTAATGTAATTGTTTGAAGTGTATCTCAAGAGCTAAATCTTCTATTTAGGGGAAAGATAGAGGGAACTAGTGATGTGATCTCTCAGACATGTGAATGTCACACAGTTGTGTCTCACTTGACTTGATTTCAGTATATCAAGTAACAAGCATAACTAACTGCTGACTATCAGAAACATAAATATATTTGTAGAATTTTTTAACCCATTTCTACAATATACCTAGCAAGCAGCTGTATACTTTTAATTTATAATTTCTTAGACAATGTTCAAGCAATGCAGTTAATATGAGTCCTTTTACACAGGCAGTTATTACTATAGTACAAAAGTGCAAAAAAATTAGTTGATGTATGGAATCAGTTTTGATATTTTTAAATGTTAGAAAGTTGAATCAAAAAAACCTCCCTTACATGTTTATGCCCAGAGGGCTCAGCCTCGCAGCAGGTTTTGTTCTCTGAACACTGGATGAGGCCAGAGTTGCTCCAGGGAACAACTGAGAAAAATGTTTTCCAGGTTGACTCTCATAAAGTGAATTGAATAATCTGACAGCATTTTAATACCATCTATACATACAGTCTGAATACATTAAATATATATTATGGAACTGTGGTATGTATTAAGAAACTGAGAGGTGTAAATTAACATTCACAAGAACAGTTGCTACACACACTGCTTTAGTTGAGATGGTGATTAGGCAAATTGAGCCTCTTGAATATAAGAAACTTTGATGACTTACTTTGCAGTCATTGTTGTTCCACACTTGTGGTCCTTTCAGAACATACCAAAAGAGAATGGAAAGTGCAGCAATAGAGCAGAGTAGATTATTTCTCCACTCCAAAACTAGGGAATAGGCTTATGATCTCTTTCCACCATCATCTGCTAGGGAGTCAGATCACATAGGACCTGTATTATAGGTGGACAATGTGCTCCAACATGGTATTGAATGTGTTATGTCATATTCAGTTGACTGTGTTGTTCACATAATACAGTGCTACCTCGGCTCACGAACGCCTCAGTTCACAACCAAATTGGGTCGCAAACAGAAATTTTGGAAAACTTTTGCCTCAGGTCGTGAACTCTGCATCAGGTGACGACCATGATTGTGGCCATGTTCCCACACGAACATGATCGTGATCGTGGCCATGTTCCCCACATGAGCATGATTGCGATTGCAGCCATCTCCCCCCCACACCACTCCCTGAGCACAATCTCGATTATGGCCATCTGCTCGCAGTTGCAGACAGACATGTGGTCACTTGCTGTATTCATGTCCTCCTTGTGAAAAAATGGGCAGACATTAAAATATATACTCATTGTGGACAGCACCCTGTTGATTTTACAAGCAGCTGCCAAAAAACTTGCACTCTAGGCTATGATCTTAGGTTAGTTCTCATAAGAAAAAATTTGGCCACCTCTGCATCCGAGTGGGCGGTAAATTTTCTAATCAAAGAGAGGATAAACTTGCCACATACTTCCTGGTAAAGTGAGCAGTAAAACATGACATGCTCTATTGTTTCCTGAACTTCTCCTGAACTCTCTTTGATTAGATATCTATCTATCTATATATATATATATATATTTAAATTTTGCTAAATTAGGATGCTGATAATGCCAAATCGCTATTTCTTTATATGTTGATAATATCTTGAAAAGTTTCTGGGGTTTGTAAAGTCAGAGCAAGACAAACAATATGGAATATTTCCTAGTTAAGCACTGTTTCCATGTTAAGCTACAGACTAGACTGTCAGTGTTTAAAATATGCACATTTATTTGCAGCTTCTTTGTAATGCTGGTCATACTGAAGAAAAACTAGGTTTTACTCATGAAGACATCATTATATGGTAAGGAGTCACTTTTTATTTTTGAATATTTGGACCATTCATAAACGATACCTTAATTCATTTACCTTTAAATCAACCTGTATTTCAAACTGTATTTTGAAGGCTGTTGAAATCATGGTTCAAGTAGACATGAGTTAGTAAGCAGGCCATCTGTCGAAAGCCCCATCAGCAAGATCCACTCAAGGTGGGAGGATCAACTGAAGTGGTTTGACCTGCTTGGCAAAAAAGAAAAGAAAAGCAATTCCAGATAAGTAGACTTGAAGCTGGCTTGCTAGCATAGGGCAGAGATGACAATAGAGAGGTTGTAGGATTCCATGTATCCATTCCTGTACTCTACCTAGCTACCTCCCAATCTCCTTTCTCCCTTTCTGAGGTTGCAACATGAAGAGCAGCTGCTACAGATATTTTTGAGGCAACTGCATGGGGAAATGGCCAGATCTCTGGTTCCTCCTCGCTGTGTTATAGTAGTGTCTGTGGTCTGGAAAACAGGAATCTGCTGTGGTCTGGGACCATAGCATTGTTGTGTCTGAGATATGTCATCCTCTGCAACCTTCTCATTTCATGTAAAGTGAAATGAACTGTATATCTGAAACATCTCAGCAATGGTCAACACTCAGCATGACTAGAAGATGTGAAAAAAGGCCCCTAGCCTAGATTTGGAGTGGTTTCCTTTTCCTTCATACCCTGCCACTTAGGTTCAACCCAGTGGCATACCTGACCCAAGGTTAAGAATGAAAGGGGCAGTGATTCTTGGTGTACTTTCCAGGATCAGGGGTGCACTAATTCTTCAAATTAAAAATAATTTGTTGAAGAAAAATATATTTGATTTGAAACCCATAACCAGAAAAAATAACAGATGCAATATTTTATTGGTGCAAATATGAAATGGATTTTTAATAGTAATAGAAGAAAATGTCTAGAAGAAAACTTATTCTGTTAAGAGCCTAATTCAATCCTATATTTTTCTCTGTGAAGTTTATTCCTTATTTTTTTTGCCTTTTACTTTAAATGTGGACTATTGTTCAAAACTCACTCATTGCTGACTTCAGTAGGCTATCATACTGCTATGAGTATTTCAATATTGTTGCATATAACAGTTGCATATAACAGTTAAATGTCACTGTGTAAACCAATAAAAGTAGTGCTAACTTACTTAAATTTTGGGATTATTTTATTGTCCATGGATCTAGTTGACCACTTGAATATTTTGATGTTTAGCAGGCTCTAGAAATTCTCTGAGAGTTTAATATTTTATTTATTTTTACTTACGTTGTTATCTTTTATGTATTCATTTATTACAATCCTACATTACCCAGCAGCCAAAGCTCTCTGGGTGGGTTACAGTTACCTTCTACTTTGCTTCCTTGCTAAACCTGTTCACTTTTTCTGTTCACTTACCCATGGTGTGCATGCTAAGAAGCAAAAAGCCTTGGTGGAGGTGTGTGTACAATACACCTCCATAAAAGTGAAAAACTTACCTGTTCAGTAACTCCTTAGTTTATGATAATAAATTGATTTGAGATCTTTTTAATTGTTATTACCTTATTTGATGTACTGACTTATTCACTAACAAGCCACCAAGGCAATGTGCAATAACACATTTAAAACAATAAAACCTTAAAACAGTTTTTAAGGAAGATTAAAACCAGGAAAGCATTAAAATATAATGTAAGAGGTGAACTTAAAAATATGTGTCTTTACACACTTATTAAAAGTTGAGTGAATGGTATCCCATCATAGTTCTGGAGAGAGCAGTGCAGAAGAAAGTCTTTTCACGTGTGCCCCAAAATGGAAAACAATAGTGCTCTTACGAGGGTTGTTCATCCAGATCTAGGCTAGACAGGTTCGCAGTGAGACAGGTGGTCCCTTAGATAGTTAGGTCTTAAGCTTCTTAGGGATTTATAGTTTAAAGATGCAATACCTTGAATTGAACTGCTAATGTAATTGACAGGTGATTCAAGACTGTGCAACCGTTCTGATTTCATGTACTGGTTAGCAGCCTAACTGATGCATTTTATATTCACTGTAGTTTGAGGATACTTTTCAAGATTATAATCCTGTAGAGTGCATTGCCATAGTGTGATGAAACCAAGGGATGGCTGTTGCCAAGTCAGACCAATTCAAGAAGGGTCACAGCTTGCATATCAAATGTAATTGTGCAAATACACTACTTGTGACCACTGCCTAAGTGGTGGACCTGAGCTTTCTACTCTGATCCTTAGAAGTACAGTGGTACCTTGGCTGACGAACTTAATCCATTCCAGGACTCTGGTCATGACCCAAATTGTGAGCCAAGCCCAATTTCCCCATAAGGTTCAATGTAAATAAGGATAATCCATTCTGTAACTATTTTTTTTTTAATCACAAAAAATTGAAGCAAAGTGACAAAGAACAACAAAGATCGCAGCCATCTCCCCCCCCCCCCATGGAAGGGCACAATTACAAGCGCGCTTGGGAGGAGACAGGCGTGATCGTGGACGCGCTCGGGTGGGGGGGGGGAGACGGCCACCATCGCAATCTCCACCTGATGGAGTTCGCAACCTGAGGCAAAATTTTTCAGAAATTTCTGTTCGTGACCCGATTTGGTCATGAACTGAGGCATTCATGAGCTGAGGTACCACTGTACAATCCCTTTTAGAACAGATTTAATGCCAGTCCCCAGATAGGATTTCTGCTGACAAACACCACCTCTGCCAGGTCTGAGTTTAATGTCCACTTCTTCCAGCCCATTATTGAAACTAGGTAGCATTCAAGCGTGTCACTGCTTTCTTGGTATTAGATTACAAAGAAGAATACAGTTAGGTGTGATCAGCATATTACTGACACCTTGCTCCAGATTAGTTTCATGTGTTGGGGCCGCATGGGACACCATAGACCAGGGGTCTCAAACTCAACTTACCTGGGGGCCGCTGGAAGTAGAGTCTGGGTGAGGCTGGGCTGCATCAAGGATTCCACCACCGCGGGGGTGGCGGGCCGCTCATCCCGCATCGCTCCCGGAGGCCAGCCCGGGCGCTGCCGGCGCTTTGAAGGCTGCGGGGCCCCTCCCCCGTGCCCCACCCATCCTGGCAATTGGCCCGCGGGCTGCGAGTTTGAGACCCCTGCCATAGACCAATGATTGTAAGGCCCAAAAGTAGCCCCCAGCTCCACTTTCTGGACATAGTCAAAAGGACGGGACTGGAAGTACTGCAAAACAATATATCCCAAGTCCTGAAAGGTACCATGGTGAGTGGTAATGAAAGCTGCCGAGATGTACAGAACTAATAGGGCTACATTGCCTCTCCCGGTGTAAATCTCAAGCATCTGCAGAGGGTATCTACAAGGAAGAGAATCCAAAACCGACAGCAAGTGGTTGCTGTGATTGCATCTGGCTGACTTGTACAAGTACTGGAGTCCTAGTCAAAACAAACAAAGAGCAAGTTGTCCATGACAAGCCAGTAACTGCCACAGTTCCTCCTCTCAAGCATCCTGGCAAAGAAGGCCTCAAAAAAAAGTACAGAAAAGTAGTAGAAGTCTGCTCTGTGCAAATGCAGTAGTAGCACAGAAGGAAACTTCTTTCACTGGCAAAGTATGTGGTTTGAAATGGTCCTTCACATATGTTTGGTTAGATTTATTCTGAGCTTTCCTGAATAGCACTCAGACTGACTTCTCTGTCTTTTCATTGCCCTAAACTTCCTTTGGAGCTGGCCTGGCTCCACCAGGATGGAGAATGCACTTAGGAGTGCTGATATCAACAGCCAGGCCATAGGAAATTTTAATAAGAAACTGCAAATGAGCTCAGGCAAGAGAAACAAGCGCCTTCTTTCAGTTCTATGGTGTTAAGGAATCATTGCATCAACAGATAGCTAGCATTATCTGTCTTTGAACTCACCCTGACCTGCAAATCCATTTAATGTGTGCCAGCCATAAAAAGAATGGCCTCCACAATCAGAGAGCCAAAGGGCTTAAGGCAGATAATTTCCTGAAATAGCTACAGAGGTAAGCAAAAACAAAACAAAAACAAACCCCGCCAGCCCTCTTTTTTCACTATCCAGTGTGTTCAGAGAAGTATTCTCCCTAACCCTGAAAGGGGTGAATGGTTGGCCTCTGTTGGTACAAGCTGGACCATGCAGCTGAGGCTTTAGAAGTTTAAGCTCTTAGTACTGATTTTGTCTCACCAAAGCTTCAAAACAGGAAGTATTGGGCCACATACATTCCATACCCCACCATCCAAATAATATCACAGACTGGGATGGTAAGTCCTCTGAATCTATGGTTGAATTTTACAAATTGGCATTGGTAGAAATTTCCAGATGGCTTTGGAGTGCAAACCAAATTACTTGTAAGCTCCTTAAAACTTTGTGGGTTTAGAATTGTGTAACTCTTTTAAAGGAGGGCAGCTATTTATTTGCTATTCTTTTTGTAGTAGGAGACAGTACAACTTGCTTTCAATGTTACTATTTTGAGCAGGGAGTTGAAAAGTTTTATATTTTGCTGTTCTTCTGGATTCTTTTTTGTGATTTGACTGTATTCATAATTTTATGTGTTGGCTTATTGAATATTTATTTTTAGCAGATTTATCCAATTCTTGTATGTTTTGAATTACTTTGTGAAGGCTCAGGGGCCTTGAAAACCATGATATAAAAATCATTGAGAAATAAGGTGTATTACAATAATAGGGAGCCTTTTGGCTTTTGCTTATACAAACACGTAAAATGAGGTGGGAGAGGTGTAATCTGTTTTAATGAAATGGATGCCTTTGATTATTTGAAGTCTGAACAATCTTCTCATCATTTGTTTTATAGTTTGCGATTAGCTTTACTGAATGAAGCAAAAGAGGTGCGAGCAGCAGGGCTACGAGCCCTACGATATCTTATCCGAGACTCCAGTATTTTACAGAAGGTGTTAAAACTGAAAGTGGACTACTTGATAGCCAGGTAACAAATTACTCTTCTTTTTCATGATTTGAATAATTTTTTGCCATTTATGTCACTCTTAGCATTAGTTTTTGTGGATGGTGGAAAATGCAAACTTGTAACATGAGAATTCTGGAAATACTGCATCCTGTTTGCGTGGCTCTTTTAATATGACATCCACCCTGAAAAAAAGAATCCTACAAGCCTGCTGAGTAATTTTTTGACTTGAGCTAATGAAGGCATTGTTCTGTTGATATTTCAATTTTTTAACATTTTGGTGGACTAATGTGGCAGTAGATACTTTGGACAGTATCCATTATTATTATTATTATTATTATTATTATTATTATTATTATTATTATTATAACATTTCTATGCCGCCCCTTGCCGAAACCTCGGGGCGGATACTGTCCCTGTGCTTGTGCTTGAATTGTTGCATAAGCAGGACTCATCACCCACCCAACAGTGCTTTGAGAAGCGATCCTGGAAGCAATCAGAGACACTTGTTCCTGGATTGGGGCAAGTCAGTAAAGCCTTCTGCAAGATCCATTGACATGCCCCATTTTGGAAATACACATTTCTGCTTGTTTACAGTTGCTTCTGAAACCACTAGCATTCTAACCAAGGGAAAATTAGATACTACCCTCTCATAAATAAACCAACTCACTTTAAATCTTTATTTTTATTTTTATTTTTTTTGTCTGATTATTATGGTGTTTTATCCCTCCCACTAGCTGTCCCTTCCTCTTGCCAATGCACAAGGAATTCTGGGACTCTAGAGTCTTGAAAGCATGTCACATATAGACAAACACACCTTGCACCTCAAATGACAAGTCCTAATTTAATTGCCCAAGTAGAAATTCTTTTTTCTGGGGAAGGGCCTGGAGCAGCGACTCACTATTGAAAATGCTACTTTTACAGGTCTAATACTGCATTTTTGGCTCTAGCAAAATCTCATAAGATCTGGATAACAGAACTTGAATAAAATGTGCTATGTTCTATATGTACCCTCAAGCATGGTCTGCGAATTGATGCTTCATTATAATCAGACTGTGGTTTGGACTTGCTTTCCCCTCCCATTAATTGGGTCCTGCACTTGTACCTTTTCTTTGATCAGATCTGGAACTATTAATCAATTCAATTGTACACTAACACCAAATAATTCCCTTCTTTGGTGACATTAAATATGTAGAGCGAGAGCTTTCAAAAAGAAGCTCATTTAACTAGGAATTACAAGAATAAGACTAATTATTAAATATGTATTGTGTAGCCTGGATTTGAGAATTGAAAATTGGGAGACTGAATGGGAGGGGCTCTGGTGTAACTAAATGTTTAGATTATTTTGCATCTGTCATCTCTAGAACCTGAATCTCACCACTCCATTCTCTAAAATAATTAGGGGTTTGTCCAAGGGAGCCCTCCCTGCAACAGAAGCAGTAGAGCTCAGGAGACTTGGGGGAGGAAGGAGTGGTGTTTTCCAATTTCCCTCTTCAGCCTCAGTGCTACCTCCCATATATGTTCTGCAGAGGAGTCATCATGATTATGTATGTTCTATAGGGCCTCCAACCCTACAGAAATTGGTTTAGAAGACTGTAAGGTGGGGATTAGTGAAGATCACCTCCTCCCTCTTTCCATCAGTAGAAATGCTGTTGTGGATTTAAAACTGTCTGTGGGAAGAAGAAAGCTCTTGGTCCATAGGAGACAAATTATATATTGGAAAATGATTCCAGCATAACTTCTTTTAAATGATACACACTTTACCCTATGGATCCAAATTTAAGAGATAAATATATTTAATCCACATTTTAAAAATGATTTTAGGTGCATTGACATACAGCAGAGTAATGAAGTAGAAAGGACACAGGCACTTCGTTTAGTCAGAAAGGTATGTAAATACATAAAGGTATGTAAATATATAACCATGTAGTGAAATTGTGCACTAATTACCCAGTACTGAATTATATATGACTTTAAGTAATACAATATTTTGAACACCTCACTGCTTTAATGTGTGAAATAGCCCTCAGTGGTGCTCAACTACACTTGATCTGTTGCAAAAATAATTTAAATATGGGAATAGAATGTAGAAAAAAAAATTCAACTATTTATTTGTATCCTGAATTTATATGAGCAGAGGCTGCTTGTGCAGTGAAATTTTCCTTTCTATCCTCTCTTGCCTTTTCCCAAACCAACTTGTAGGGGACTCTCTGGGGACCCTAAAATAAGCTTGAGACATGGAAGGTGGGTGTTAAAATCTGTTGGAAGTAGCCTGTGCTAGTGAAAAAGACCTATGTAATGTTTGCATGCAGCCCATTGCATTTAATAAAGCAAGCCATTTAGGATGGTCAAAACTAAAATAAATGAATAACTATGTTCAGACCTCTGTTGACTTGATATCATTGACTTTCCCAATCAACTTAATGTGTTGCACTATTAACACAGTGGGATGTGGTGGCACAGTGGTTTAAACTGCTGAGCTACTGGGCTGCTGATCAGAAGGTCGACGGTTCGAATTCGCACACGGAGTGAGCTCCCCTGCTTCGTCCCAGCTCCTGCCAACCTTGCAGTTCAAAAGCATATAAATGCAAGTAGATAAAAAGGTACCACTTTGGTGGGAAGGTAACAGCATTCCGTGCACTTCGGTGTTAGTCGTGCTGGCCACATGACTACGGAAACTGTCTGCAGACAAATGCTGGCTCCCTCGGCTAGAAAACAGAGATGAGCACTGCCCCCTAGAGTCAGACATGACTAGACTTTAATGTCATGGGGAAACCTTTACCTTTACCTTTTATTAACACAGTATATAAATACACATTTAAGTTCATTTGTTAAACTGAAGCAAGAAGCCAAATCAGTTAAAAGTGATTAAAAGCCCATTCTTTAAAACAGGAGTGAACAAAGGCAACTCGCAGCCTCTTATGCAGTTCCCAGAAAACAACCAACCAAACCCAAAGCCTTAGACCAAATTTTGCTGGTTTTTAAACTAGATGTGGCCTTTCTAAAGGCGGTAAATTGGATAAATTGCTGCCACAGAATTTGATGATAGAGTGGCCCACAGAGGGGTCTGGAAGTTTGAAAGAGGTCCCTAGACCCCTGATGTTGCTCATCCGTGCCCTAAAGGATCAGGTTTGCACTCTTAGGATTCTTTTAAATCCAGCATTTAACATCCTGGTTTTAACTTTTTAAATTATTTACATGTTTGGCCCCTTGCCTTTCTTTCCACCTGAACCTAGAAGTCATCTTCCAAGGAGCTTATTCATGTCTCCCCACCAAATTGAGATTAAGTGGCTACCGGTGAAAGAGCCATATCAGTGGTAGCATCCCTGATGTAGGATAGCCTCTGCACAGACGTTTGGTGCCATTTTCATGCCTTTATATTCACCCATGATTTTTAAACAGTAAGTGTTCTACAAATTGGGGCTCTTGCTCTGTAAGCTTTCTGTAACTTCGGCAGCTAAATTATATTTATAAATTATTATTTTTTAAACTGCTGCATTTTTAGTGTTTGGTTATTTTGTAACTGGCTTATATTTTACTTCTATCCCTGTAAACCTGTCAGGAAACATATTGATATGTGGCCATATAAATCTTAGTAGTAATAATAAAAGCACATAGGTGGCTGGGGCATACAGAGAACTGTAGGCCTTTTTTCTGTCTAACGCATAGGATTGTGCCATAAGAACTTTGAAACTCACAAGATAAAGAAGCAAGCTCAAGGTATATAATGTGTTATTTGCTGTGTCCTTCATTTGGGTTGCTTTTCCCCTAGTATCCCATCCATCTTCTCAGAAGGAGTAAGTTGTAGAGGTTTTTAAAAACCAGTTAATTATTAAGGAAATTAGTCAGAATTGCCCCAGGACCTACTCTTCAGAGTAGTGAATATCAAGAAATTAGGTCATTACATTGGAGTGAAAAAGCTCTCTTAGTCTGAGAGCTGAATTCAGTTTCAGAGAAGCTCTCTGGGGATGCATTCCAGTGGTGGGTGGGGTAAAAGAGATGGAGTCAAAATGCAAAACACATCAGCATATTTTAGCTTAAAGCTCTTACTGGCAGTCAAAATAAAAGGTAAAGGTTTCCCCTTGATGTTATGTCCAGTCATGCCTGACTCTAGGGGCAGTGCTCATCTCCGTTTTCTAGCCAAGGGAGCAAGCATTTGTCCACAGAAAGTTTCTGTGGTCATGTGGCCAGCATGACTAAACACCAAAGTGCACGGAACGCTGTTCCCTTCGCACCGAAGTGGTACCTTTTTATCTACTTGCATTTATATGCTTTTGAACTGCAAGGTTGGCAGGAGCTGGGATAAAGCACAGGAGCTTACCCTGTGTGCAGATTCGAACTGTCGACCTTTCGATCAACCAGCCCAGCAGCTCAGCAGTTTAAACCACTGTGCCACCGCATCCCTTACTGGCAGTTACAGAGGTGTGAACAAGGCATGTTAGAATGAGAAATACATTGTGCTAAAGCCAGGAAACCATCAAATGATCAGTGATCAAGGTAAAAGCAATGAGGCCTGGAGAAGTGGCGAGTTCATAGAAACAGAGTGAGTCAGAAGGGGTCTCCCGGGCCATCTAGTCTGACCCCCTTGGACCTGGCAAGGCCCAATTTGCTGGGCTTGAAGTTCCCCACTGCAGGTATACAAAGCATTTTCTAATACATTTGAAAGAGAGGGTAAGATAGAAATAATTACTTGATGAAAGTTTTGTTGTTAGGAATTTTTAACCCATCAGATTTCAGATGGTAAACTCATAGGATATCTTCCAGTTTTGAAAAATGCAGAGAAAATCAGGTAGCAAAAGAGCCCTAGGTACAGGTGGTCGCATGCTTGTGCTTTTCTGTCCCCTGTGATTAGTGTCAGCTTGTTCAAGAGCCTAAGGCCTTGTTTCTTTGGAATAGATTAAGATACCTACTCTGCATCTCGTGTAATGGTACAAAATAACATGGATGAATTAATTAAATAATTAATGTAGGTGGGAAATGGTATGGGGTTTCTTTAAAGTTTTATCTGAAGGCACTTCCTGTTCTGTGGGTAGCAGATCGTGCTTTGCAAAGCAGCAGTCTCTCAAAAATAGTTTCATAAATAAACATTATCTTAGCTCCAATGTTGAATCTTCATATATAGAGCCATTATTGAAAGTTGACCAGCAAATAAAACAAAATTGCTTCCTCTCTGCTAACCTCCTTATAGAGAGATTTTAACTACTTCAAAACATACTTGAATGCCCTTCTTAAGGCCAGGCTGGAAGAAAAGCTAAATGTGTTTGTACACATTTTTAAAAATGCACTTTTCTCCTAACGGCTGTTAATTTTTTGTATTGTAGCTGGTGGTAAGGACAAGCTCAACACCTTCCTTCTTTGTGGCAGTCCTGGCACAAATCACACTTTTGAAACAGCTGTTCACTTTGAGAGCAAGTCTTCTTTGGGCACCAGTGAATCTCTGCGCCCTAAACATATATTTATATATTTTAAAAAAATATATGCGCATATGAATGCTTTGACTGGTTTGGCCCTCAGTGTAGCTCAGACAGGAAGACATTTATGAATATTTTTTTGTTTAGAGATTCTCTAAAACTTGAATAACAAAGGGTCAGATGGTCCATTGTGTTCTGTTAGCTCCTTCATGCTTTGCATAATTGAGATGTCTTTGCTAGAGGGAATGCATTATATAAGGTTTATATTACCTTTCTCTTTAGAGAGGTGGGAAAACAATGATAGCAGCATGCATTACTCAGTCTCTCACACCTGTCTTTTGGCTGCCTGCTTTGCACACAGTGCCAATAATGTTTGTTGCCCTGTTCAGGGTTAGTCTGGCAGATGATCAAACAAAGCATGGTTTGTTTTCTTAGTTGCTGTATTTGTTTCCCTCTTCCTTTGTCCATTCCCTTCCTGTATTCTGCATGCCTTCAGTGCTGTAGGACAGCAGGATGTCTTGCACCCATCCTGCGTGAAGGATCTTGTGGGCAGCTGGTTTTCAGACTGCTGTGTGAAAAGAGTGCTGATGGACTTTTGGTCTGATTCAGCATGGCTTTTCATAAGTTCTTATGAAAGCGGCTTTTCATAGCCATTGTGCATTCTCTTACAGGAATGGAGATATGCATGAAAAGGCAGTTTCCCACTGGAAAATCCATGCCATCGCTAGTGCTTCTGTCTAGTCTTTGATTTTGTTCTTATGTAGAACAGCTGGTTTGGTTGTTTGATTCTTTAACCACTCTTATGTGCCACCTCTGCAGCCTGGCATAAGATTTAATGGTTCAGGATTCATATAAATGTAAGCCATGGTTTAATCAACCCACAGTTCACAACTCAACAACAAACCATGGGTTTTCTTTCTACCCATACCATGGCCACCTTTCATTCCCCCAAATACTTCAGGTTACTTCTCACATTGCTTTGAAAATTAATTTGTTTTAGAGATGTACGAGACTTCTGTAGATGTTAAATTTAACAGGGAAGTACTAACCACAGAAGTTATGGTGGAATTAGCCTCATTCTGGCCCTTTTCTGGTGGCTTGCTCATGCGTGCAGAGAAGACAGCTTTGCATCTGCTGGTAGATCTCTGGCTAATAGATATTATGAAAAGCAGAATCAAAACTCTGCTGTCATGTAGCAGCAGCAAGCAGCATGTTGGAGAGCTTGTGTGAGAATTGTACTGCTATGCTTATCTTAGAAAATCTATGACTTCTGGAAACAGATGGAGAGCTTTGTGTGACTCATGTCTCCAATTTTGCCACACAATTTATTCTCTTTACAAACATTTCAAGGGAGAGGAATCTATTCTTGTTGGCACAGTTCAGCATTGTTTTAATAACTACTTCTGATTGTGTATCTGTTGTTCCCAAATGTCGGTGAACAAATTGGACATGAAGGCCCTAAGATGTTCTGTTATCATTTAAGAATATTGCCTTTCCTTTACTATGGCTTTTTCTCACATATGATCTACAGTATAAGGTCATCTGTATCTTTTTAGAAACAAATTATTAAGTATGCCAAGATAGAAGAGCAAGATGCTAAATCTAACATTCTGTGTGGGATTGGAGGAGGAGGAGGAGGAGGAGGAAGAACCATTAGTGTTGTTCCATATTCTTAAGGTACATGCAGTGCCTGGATTCCTGCAGGTGAAGTGACAAGCTCCTTGTTTTTGCATTTCTTTCCAGATGATAACTGTGAATGCTTCACTATTTCCTAGTTCAGTTACCAATTCCTTGATAGCAGTTGGAAATGATGGCCTTCAGGAGAGGGACAGAATGGTTCGAGCCTGTATTGCTATTATCTGTGAACTAGGTAAGAATTTCAAAAAATAGGTCTAGTTGAGTACCATGCATTAACCTTTGACAATGTAAAAATGGTTTAGAAATTTCCTGAATATTCTATGTTAAAGTAGGCTTGTATAATGTAAAGGGAAGGACTCAGTTGAGAACTCACTGGATTGAGAACTCACTGGATTGGGACCTCAGGGGTGCAGATTTGACCCCCATGGCTGAGGTTCTCAGAGCTGATGTAGTTGTTCTCAAAAACATCATTGATAAACAGACTTTCTTGAATTTATTTACGCCTTTTTAAAACCATCTGTGCTAGTGGCCATTCAAATAGCATGTGACAGTGCATTGCGTAATCTAGTTAAGCATTGCATGAACTATTTTTGCTTTATTTTCTAAATATGTTCATTATTTGCACTAATATCCTGTTGATGTAGCTTGGAGGAGGGCTTCCAACACATGACTGCATCTGTCTATTCATGAAGTATGTATAAGGAACCTCTTGCTAAGTGTATGTAGTGAAAGAAGTATATAATCTTAGAAATATTTAGGGAATATAGATGATCTGTTTCCTCTTAATATTTAAAATCACAATATTTGTTGTTGTTCAACTGTTCAATTGAGTCTGGCTGTAAATGATCCCATGGCCCAAATCTTGCTGCACTTTTTGATAGCATGTCACCTCTTCCAGTTGAACTGTGCTCTGGCCCGCATCCTCTTTGATGGAGTCTAACCACCTCACTCTTTGACGTCCTGGTTTTCTCTTGCCTCTGAGCATTCCAAGTATTATATATTAAACTCACAATATACTTAATTGTAAATAGAGTTTTAAGTTAAACTATTATATTTCTATTGATATTCATATGAAGCTTAGCATAATAACTAGTGAATAATTTGAAGTTGAATTAGAAATGTAGATGGTGATGTTAAATATTATCATTAGTTTATTTTTCTCTTTCAGCAATTCAGAATCCAGAGGTAGTTGCTCTTCGGGGTGGTCTGAGTACCATTTTGAAAAATGTGATTGACTGTCAGTTAAGCCGTATAAATGAAGCTCTTATAACGACAGTCTTGCATCTTCTCAATCATCCAAAGACTCGACAGTATGTGCGAGCAGATGTAGAATTAGAGGTAGGAATTTTATTTCCTTCTCCAGTCTTATTATATGCACATTTGCTTATTTTGAGTCATGAAGGAATTTCCATGTGTTAGAACCCATGTATCATATACACAACTTCGTGCTGCCTGACTAGCATCAAATGCCTAGTGGATGAGTTGACAGTTGAGAAACTTATTTAAGGAAATATTTGTATTTGACAAGGAGTGAAAAATTATACAGTTATTTACAGGGAAAGAAATATTGACATAGGAGCTTTGTCTTTTAATAACAAGGTGAGTATTTGTAATGCTTAAATGCTATACTTGTTTCATATTCATCCACACCTGTCCTTTTTATAAATATACAGCTATTTGAATCGATTTCAAGTGGGGGTGAAAAAATGGTTCACAGCAAAAATGAAGTAATATCACATCTTCTAACAGGGAATGACTTAGGTGGCTAGTCCTATGATTATAATCACAGACAACCTATGTTTTCTCTCTAATTTTCTGTTGGGAGCGTTGCTCTAATAAGACATAACATGCAATGGTGTGGTTAAAAGTGACAGCTTGCTGTGGGATAATCAGTTTGGTGTAAATATGTTGAAAACTGTGCTTGCTCAGAGATAGAGATCCCAGTCTTGTTCTTTTTCTCTGCTTTTTTCTTTGATCAGCCTGAACTGAAAAAAGTAAGCAGCTGGGTGGGTTCAATCTACATAAATCGTTATATATTATGGTAGAGCTGGCCATATTGCAAAACTGAACAAAGTAGGTGCATTCTGCTCTCCGTTGTTTAAATTATGTATGTTTTCATGTTAGTCAAACAGGACATCTTATAGGTCTTAAATTGGTTATACTTTGTGCTAGCTCTCTAGTTCTAGACAGAAATGCAGACCTCTAATATGTTGGAGTTTTTTCCAAAAAAATTGCAGTGGATAAATAATAAAGATGCAATGGTTGTACTGGGAGTTACATTTACTTCTTTGTTACAGCGGATTTTAGCTCCATATACCGACTTTCACTACAGGCACAATCCAGACACTGCTGAAGGACAGATGAAGTAAGTATAATCATCCATTAGTCATAAATTAGTAACCGTGACCTGGTTGCGTGACAGGACAACCTAGTGTGGATAGCTAGCCTTGGAGGATTGCTGTGTGGTATAAACTTAGGCCACTTCCCACAAGCTGGCCTGTTTTTAGCAATAAGCCATCTTAACAATCCATGGTTTGTTCTAAAGACCATTCAATTTACAGTGATCTAGTGTGTCATACAAACCTGGGAGAGCAATTTTGTTATGAATTGTGAGGATTGGCTAGCAAGCTGCTTGTCAAGAATGACAAAGGCTCCTGTTGCTCTTAGCAGTCTCAGCAGTGATGCTGCCAGTGAATGACAGCTCCTTCAGCAATGCCGAACCACTGCTTCAGGGTGACTTTCACTGTTTCACTACCCATGTTCAAATTAATTTTTGGGAACCCCACAGATGCACAGTTGTATTTATGCTTCTGTTATTTTTGTCAGTCTTTCTCAAGTACACACTTATGGCTTTCTGATGTGACAGCTCTCCCTTGGTCCACTTCCTTGTTTGTTTCAAGCATCAGAGGAAGTGATGAAGTCCAGTAGGAAATGAAGTGACAAAGCAAGCCTGCACATAAGCAATTTGCATTCAGTACCAAGGTCCCGTTCCATAGCTGTCAATTGAAAAGCACTAGTGAAGGGGCAGGGAGTAGCAAAAGAAAACCCACCCAGATGGATGAGAGAAACACAGGCTCTCATTGTAACTCTCTCAGTTTTAAATATTGGACTGACAGTCCTCAGTGCCACCCACCTTTTCAGCAGTTCCCCTAATCTCCAGCAACTCTGGAAGTCTCCCCTTGTTTTGCAGCTCCTTTGCACAATGCTTGTTGCTGCACTAGCAATTGGAACACAAAGGGAGAGACAAGAAGGGTTCTGCCCTAGCTGGAGTGAGAGAGCAAGCCATAGTGAGCCTAATCATCTCTCAAATACAGATTGGGTTATTTGACCCTGGGCAGCTTATTTGCAGGGTGGCTTACTGTGGCATGCAAACGCAGCTAATGAGATTTAATGTACTCATTCAGTTTTGGACTAGCACTTATGTCAACTCCACTGTTCCCACTGCTCTCGAGTAAAACATTTCAATGGATAATAAAACATGACAAATTCAGTGTGTCTTCAATATCTTTGCATAATATTGTTCTTATAATAGAGAGGACCGAGAAGCACGGCTGTCTGCTAGTAAAATGGGAATTGTGGCAGCATTTCGATCATGGGCAGGTAAGGCCTTTGATACCTATGTTAATAAGTGCTATAATACTATATCTAGGAGAGTGGAAGAAGCACAATTTGCTACTAGGTATCAAAAGATCACGAGTATCTCTGTTTTGCTTGCAGTCTGTATCATCTATGACTATAAAGATAGGCTTGAAAGTGTGTGAGCAATGTCTTGTGAGAATTTTAAGGGTGTAGTCCTATGCGCTTCTACCTCACTTACTTGGAAGCACAAAACCTCTTAGACTTACAAGATTCATGTGTCCTTTTGGGCAGAAACCCACAAAACCAGAGCAGCAGTGGTATTCTTTGCTTCCTCATCATCTGAACTTTTATTATTTTTCTAGATAAGCTTTTTAACCTATCCTGTTAGTGCCCTTCAGAAGTGAATAGAATCATATCCTGGCCTCTCTTCTCTCTCACCCTCCAGAATTTCCCTGTTTCTCTCCCACTAGGCTTACTTTTCCAACTTCAGAGAGACATATGGCACAGTTCTTTCCACACTGGCTGCAAGAGGGCAGGAGAGCAGATCTCCATTTCCCCCTTCCAGGATCAGTGCTCTCCCCAAGCTACCCCATGATTCCTGGGATAGTCACCCAGTGGTCATACAATTGCTCTCTAAAATCAAAGAAATCAATGTTCAGCATGTAATACTAAATTCAGTACTTGCACAGTATAAATGCAAAATATATATAGCTTTGCTGGCTTCATCTGAAAAACTAGAATACTAAGTACAAATACTAGAATATTTATTTCCCAAATAAATAATAGTGGGGATCATGTGCTCATGGTAGGGGTCAAATGTGACCAGGACTCAAGCATAATCTGGGGGGAAGCTATCCCAGTACACATGATATAGTCCCTTCCAGGGTATGTAATCATGGGACTTATGACAGAAGAACTTCTGTTATATTCTGAATTGATTTTAGTGGAAACCGTTGAGCCCTTGTATGTGCTTATAATTAGATGTATCAGTGAGAGTGACAAGGAAACAGTATTTCCCTGTCTCTGTTTGGTCCTCTCTTTGCTGCCCAGCAGAGTTCTTCAGAGTAGTCTGGGCCCTCAAAGAAATGTTAGACCTGTCTGAGGTTCTGTGCAATACATTTCCTAGGCACTTCCAGGAGAAAATCTCTTGAATCCTCTAGTACTTGAATCCCAATGTTATAGCAGTTGAATCAGGTGAGATATCCAGAGCAGCCTTGCCACATTTTCTTGGATAAATTTCATTTGAGAATGTTGACAAGTTGCTTGAACATGTTTCTGCAATCCATTTGTACTGGATTTTTGCCCATCTTGCCTTATAAAAACTAGCAAGGAAGGAACAGTCAGCTGGGCCATGAAGGTGATCAGTGCCTCCTTGTGGGAAGGAGTGACCCCATGAAACAGGCAGTGGTGAGGCCAGCTCTCAAACATTAGCACCAGGTGTCCTCAACTGGCACACTGGGGCCAGGTGGGGAGATAGAAGGGGAACCAAGGTTTGCTCAAACAAAGGTTGAATGCCACTAAACTGTCTCACCAAGTGTATGACTTTTAGAATTCTTTGACAATTAAAACACAACACACATACAGGAATTCCATTAATTCCCAAGCACTAATATATATAGAGAAGAGGGTTGCATATGCAACTTACTGAAATATGTCTTCTTGCTCGAGGAGTTGATCAATCTAACACCACTTTAAAAAAAGTTCTAAAAGGAGTCAGGATATTAGAGACATGTTAGAACCCATATTTTAGAGATAAATGTGTGAAAACCTGCATTAAAGCTAGAATTATTAAATATAGACAAAAACCTTATGGAAGAAGAATTGATACTAATAATCAAGCCACCTGTTTCTTTCCCCATCCAAACACACAAACTTGTAGAATTCTTTGATGGTCAACACACATACACCAATGGTGTGATTTGAAAATCTTTAAGTACTTGGATATTATTAAGCCAGTAAACAAGTGGCAGTAAAAATATGACAAAAGAGCGGATAAAATATTGACAACTTAATCTGTAGTGAGTATAAAAACAACACCATGAAAATCTCCAGGATGGGAGTGAAGGGGATTTAAGGCCTATCAAAACAAGTTAGTGTCCATGAAAAACCATCAGCTGGGACAAGGAGTGCCTCTGTATAGAGAAAATTCTGAAGGTCGCCTTGGGAAAGTCCCCTCTTTACCACCAAATACAAATCTGACATTCCTGAAACTCACAAGAGAAACTCCCAAATACCTTCGAGGACAAAGTAAAAGATTAGGGTATTTCTGGTGCACATGTAGACAGCTAAGGTAGAGAGAACATGGAGGTTTATGTAACACTGCTTCATACCTCTCATAATTTTGCAGCTCATTGTCAGAAGGTATGGTTATAGCTATTATTTTAAAGTGCTTTGAAAATGAGTTAATCACATTCATGAACAATCTGGGTCTAGCAACAGCTGTCAGCCTTGGTATCTAAGGGGCACCTCCATTTCAGAGGCACTGTATCTCTGGTATCATAGGTTAGGGCCTGAAAGCAAGAGGGAGCTGTTTATGACTGGCTTGTCAGCTGCCAAGGAGCATCTGGCTGATGTCTGTGAAAATCTGGATGATGAACTAAAGCAGTTCTTACTCCTAACCTGACTAGTAGAGATGCCCATATTTTTCATTGATCTCACCATGGACAAGATTATTTGCGGCTTGTATTTTCTTACCTCCAGAAAAAAGCCTCTTGCTTTGTCTGAATCATACTGGTATTTGTAGTAGGAACAGTACGAATTTTGCTCATAGTTATATTTTTATTTATATCTGTCCCGTAAATTTTATGATGAATTATTTGAGGGGCATTTCTGTGTAATTAACTATACTTTGCAGAAGGTTAATAATGTCTGGGTGGCTAGGAGCAAAGCCACAAAGAAAGTAATAAGGGATCAGTGAGCATTTGCCTAATAATAAGTCTCTTGTGTTGCCATTATATAACTATGCTTTTCCATCTGTATTTTAGGAATTATTAGTTTATGCAAGCCTGGGAATTCTGGGATTCAGTCTCTTATTGGAGTGCTGTGTATACCTAACATGGAAATACGGGTATGTGTTCTACTTCTGCAGAAAATATTCTGAGGCTTATATGCTTCTTCATGGCTAGTACTCAGTTTGTGCACTACTGTTAATAAGCATAGAATATGCATTTATATTGTGTGTGAGAAAGTGTCAGAGTCTGTGCCTGTTTGGCATCCTGGTGACTCTGTATTTGTGGCCACAACGCACTTTAGCTTTCTGGGACTCAGTGCACTGATTTCACTTTTTTTTATTACTCTTGGTTTCAACCAATTTTAAGTAGAATTTTAAAAGTTGAGATGCCATCTTCTCCAGTTTGTGCACAATGCCTACAAACAGAGGGATCTCCTTCTGTACAGCTCAGTTCTCCCTTCTCTTTAACATTTGCTGAGCACACCAGGCCCTTATGGGAATAGAGAAGTTCCCCATCTTCCTATCCAGTCTTCCCTCTCAGATTGGTTCAGGTGATACAAAGCTGGAGCTTACAAGATGCACATGAACTTATATTCTTATACTGACTTGATATCTTCAGTGGGTCTGTGCAGAGGGGAAAATGGGTCTGTTGAGCACATGATGATCTTCCTGCTTGAGCACTGTACCTGAGCAAGAATGGGTCATATCTTTTGTTGTTTCAGTAAAATCTTAAATACAGCCTAAATCTGCTCGTTATGAACTCTTCCATGAATATTTCAATTGCTCTAAAAATTTAAAAAAATATTTCTAAAAATTTGGGAATTACAAGGATAGATGAACATTCCTAAAAGTTATAGCCAATATTTTGTAGTATTTTAGGGCATAAGACTATGGACTATGTCCTGGCTGCTCAGAAACTCCTGAATTCAGAGGTTTCTAATGATTCCTGAGCCCTACTGGGCTGAAGCCAGAAGGACAGAAGGAGCCACAGAGATGGCCATGTCTTCCTTCCTTCCTTCCTTCCTTCCTTCCTTCCTTCCTTCCTTCCTTCCTTCCTTCCTTCCTTTTTTGCGGGGTGGGCACTTGACAAGTTTTTGAGCCATTCTAACAAGGAAGATTTGGCGTGGGAATGAAGGCGCCTAGAGGAGGCTCAGGATAAAACCTGACCTAGCTTCTCTGGTCTCCTCCCTTCCCAACATACCAAAGCAGTCCTTTCCCCTGGTTAATTTTTCCTTACAGAGACAACAATGAGGTTCAAACAATTAAATGCATCTGTCTCCTGACCAAGGATGCAGTCTTATGGACTGTGTCCTCACTACTTAGAAGCCTCCAAGCCGTCAAATATTCCTGGCTTCTCTGGTCTCCCTGTTCCCCCAACCCATCCACTGGAATGCTCCCTTTTGCCCTTCTCTGAAGTTGAATTTCCTACCTGAGAGAAGCAGCCAGCCTAGTTTCTTCCATGCCAGCTGCAGGTCGGCAGATCTCCAGCTTCCTCTTCTGAGTGTGAAGCACTGATACTCACTCAGGGACCATAGGTTTGCCTTGTTTGTTGTTTGCCACAGATATTTAAAATTTGGCTTTTAACATTAATGGAGATTCTTACATTTCTTCCAAACTTTATAACTCCTGCTCCTTTTTTGCATTTCCAGCGAGGATTGCTTGAAGTTCTTTATGACATATTTCGCCTTCCTCTTCCTGTTGTGACAGGAGAATTTATAGAAGCACTTCTCAGCGTGGGTTAGTATTTATTTATTTATTTAAAACATTTTTATGCCGCCCCCATCGCAACAAAGCCTTGGGGCGGCTCACAACAAGAACAAAATATAACAAATTATACAATAAAAATATTAAAACCCGGTGCATCTCGGCTTAAAAGGTTTTAAATCCTATGAATAACCAATTATTAACAATTAAAATAAGTTTTAAATATAAAGGTCTTAGCCTGGCGCTGAAAAACAAATGACAACGGTGCCAGGCGGACCTCTCTGGAGAGCGCATTCCATAGTATTAAACGTTCAGTGCTTTACTTTATTCATTGGGATAACCAATCAGGTGCATTCCTATATCGCCTTCTCCAGATCGTAGTGGGGCTTATCTCTGAGTATCTGACTGCAGTATTGCAGTAATTAGATGCTTTTTCTCAATGTGATTTGGAAGGATGGGGTTAAAAACATTTTTCCAAAATAGATTTACATGCATAAGCTGACTTTTTCAGCTTATCATTTTGCTCCTGACCAGTGTTTGTCACATTTGGGTCATACCTCTGCCAATTCTTTTCTGGAAGCGAGACCCACCTCTTGTCCAATGGAAATTTAGCACTTACCGGAGCAACCAGAAAAGCTTGGTCCTGGGAGAGGTCATGTCAGAGGAGCTACACCAACCTATGGCAATCCGAAAATAAGTGTTTTCATTCATATTGGGGTTTCCTATACGGAGCAGTAAATCTCAGTTACTTAGGTAATAAGCAACTAGCTTATTACTAGTCTAGCTTGTGCAGTGGAATCAGCTGGAGTAGATGTTGTGCTGTGGCTCCCATTGCATGCCACCCAAAGAAGTAAACAGAACATTTTTTAGATTGTAAACATTGCTTTTATTTATTCTAATGGTACTAACCCAAACATTTTTGCAAAGCAAACTTCTAGGAATATTTGTACTTCCACAAATTGTTTTTTTTTTTTAGTGTAAGTACTTTTTTGAAAAAAACTTGCCTTAAAAATTCTGATAATTTATTTTCGAAATGTCAAAATGACCTATAAATTTCTTTTATATAGTTTCTTCTCTTGATGAAGTCACCTTTCTAAATTACTGATTTCCTCTGAGAAAAATCTTTAGTCACATAGTATAGTTTTTTCAAATGCATATGCTAGTCAAAGCATCTGTTATTTCCCCAGTGTTAATCTTATCCACATTTCTCTCCCATCGTTTTAATTTTCATTATATTCTATTTGGAGAAGTTCACAGGTGCAAATGTGTGTTCCTCATTTTTTTTCCTGAAACTGTATTGTAGCTGAACAGAAAGCAAGCATAAGCCCCCTTTCTGTTAGCTGCATTCTCACAACCTCATTTACTACTGCTTCTACCCAGAATCATTCAGCAATGTCACTGTTTTACTTTCTGTATGAAATGTAGGCTTTTTACTTCCAAATCTAGCTTGAAGTGTTTTGACAAATCCATCTGATGCTTGGCTTTTGCATTGTCCCTTTTCCCCTGCCCGGCAGTGTTCATTTGCACAGATATGCTAAGTTCCACATTGAAACAGAGAAATAATAGTAAACACATAAAATTAAATCTGAGAAGGAGCAGTGGTGCATAGCAACCCTAATATTTTCATATGATGGTTTTCTTGTTGTAGATCCAAGCAGGTTTCAAGACAGTTGGAGACTTTCTGATGGCTTTGTAGCTGCTGAAGCTAAAGTTATATTACCTCACCGAGCCAGATCCAGGTAATGCCTTCTCCAACTCAGTTTGGTAACATGAAAGAGAAAGCACTAAAAAATTGAAGCTGATCTTGGGTTTGTTTGTGTTTTTTTGATCACATATTTATCTAGGCCTGACCTCATGGACAATTACTTAGCACTGGTTCTCTCTGCTTTCATTAGAAATGGACTCTTGGAAGTAAGTTCAGGTTTTAATTTAAATAATGAGTAGTTAAACTGTAAAGCAGCATCTGTGAGATGACTACAGTAGAATTTTACTTCTTAATTACTCTAGGGTCTAGTTGAGGTAATCACAAGCAGTGATGACCATGTATCCGTCAGAGCCACAATATTACTGGGAGAACTTTTGCATATGGTAAGAGACTTCATTTCACTTATTTCTTGGTCTTTTCTTCAAAAGTCATTTTATGTAAAAATAATTTTAAAAGAAAAATTAAGGAGAATACAGTTGTTCCAATATGCACAATTCCCTAACCCTTTGCAGTGTGCTAATGCAAAAGAAGAGCCAACAGGTTATCAAAGGAGCTTTCAGCTCCACCTTTCTGGTACAGTCCAAAACCTGCCCTGGAACTACCTGACTGACAATGTAGTATGTTTAAGAATAGTTCATACCCAGACCAGTACCCTGTTGATTTGTTTCCAGTGCAGTCCTAGTGATCCCTGCACACAATCTATTGTTTCACGGAACCCAGTTGGACTGGCTTAAGAATTTTCTGTGCTAGAGTAGCAAGGTGAACACTTAATCACGTTGTTCGGCTTCGGCGAATGGGGCAACATAAAAATGTTTTAATAAATAAATAAATCATCCAGCATTTCTGCAAACTTAATTTTGTACTCGTAGAAAATTCATCTTACAGATAAGTAGTTGTCCTCTTTAAGGTAGTTAATTAACAAAATAGATTTTCCCAGGGAATTGTTAAACATACTGTCTTAAGTCTAAAATAAAGGCAATTAGAAACTAAAGTTTTCATTGACTTAATCAGTGTGTTAGCTGTTGTCAAAACCATGGTCTTAAGGAGGTTTATAGCATATAAACAATATAATTCAATAAACATAGTAAGAAAATACAAATAATTTTAAATAAAGCAAATTACAATAAAATATAGTTTCAAAATACCTATAGCAGCAAATAGCATTACAAATTATATTAAAAGTCTGTGAGAATAGATGTGTTTTAAAACCCTCTTAATTGGAAGGCTAATCATTTGTAATTAAGGGAGGAAATTCTGTAGGCAGAGGTCCACACTCAAATGTTCTGTCCCTGGTTTTCACAATCTACTAAGCTTGTTGGTAGGCTAGCTAACAGGGTCTCTCAAAATCACAACAAATGGGTAGATTCATATAGTGTTGCAGTCATCTGTTTATTTAAAATGATTTTTAGGTTGCTCTGACGTTAGAATACAAAAGGATACAAATATATAATAAATATGCAATAAAATCCTGTGAAACACTGTAAAAATAGATTGTGCCAACAGTGGTCCACAGATTTGGAAAAAAATGATAGATCTTCAGAATCCTTTTGAAGAAGGGGCCTGGTTAACTCAATGGGAGCTGATTCTAGAGATGTGGAATCATCAATGAAACATCCATCTCCTCTGTACTCACTAGTCTAACTGTTCTTGAAGGCAGTTAAAAAACGGTTTCAGCTGATGACATCAAAGTGTAGGCAGGCTGGTGTGGTAGGAAGTGATTCTTCAAGATACTTGGGCCCAATCCATGTAAGACTTTATAGGTTAAATCCAGCATTTCAGATTAGACTTGGAAATGCATTGGTAAGCAATGCAGTTTGCCTGATATTGGTGACATGTGTTCAGACTGGCCAGCCCCCACCAGTATTCAGGTGGATACATTGTACAAGACAACCCTACATAGTAGAAAACCTGGAGGTCATCAGAGTATGAATGACCAAGGCAAGGTCCTTTCTCTCTCGAGATAGCTAGATAAGTTGCAAAAGCTCCAGCCTCTTGCCTCTGACACCCTACGACTGATCTAAATGGATACCATGGTTGATGGTATTGAAAGTTGTTGGGAGCTCCAGGAGATTCAGCAGGGTTACACTTCCACATCCCTTTCACCACCAAAAGTCATCTGGTTGACCGAGTGGTTTCTGTCCTAAAGGCAGGTTGGAATAAAGAAACAGCCTGGACCCAAACTGGGTCAAAGTCAGCACTTTGGATTGGATAAATGTGTCAAAGTCAGCACTTGAATTGGGCCCAGAAATTCATTGGCAACCCATTCAGTTAGCACAGGATTAGTATAATGTAGGCTGATCACACTATTCTTTTATCCCCACAAGGATTCAACTGTATTCTGTCCTAGCTGAAGTTTCTGAGTTGTCCTCAAAGCAGCTCCATATACAGCATGTTACAGTAGTCCAGTCTGGATGCATATAGGACATTTATAACTGAGGCAAGGTCTGCATTTCTTGAACTGGTTTGCATCTGAGAACCAAAACTAGTAAAAGTCACTCCTTGCTGCTCCTATCTGCTTCCACAAGACAGCAGCAAGTCCAGAAGGACCCATAAAAAATGAACATTTTCTATAACTGTTTTAAAATGCATTTTTTTTAAAATAGGATTTTGCATTAGTTGAATCACATGTGAAAAGTAATTTGTTGTTGTTGTTGTTTTCCACAGAGCTGTGTTTATATCCTGTAAAGCTAAGGAGGTTTTGCTAGGTGTGAAGCTCTGGTTTTTCTTTTAAAGCCTGTGCAACTTCTCTTTCAGGCAAACACCATCCTTCCTCATTGTCACAGCCATCACTTACACTGCTTACCAACTTTGATGAATATGGCAGCTTCTTTTGACATTGCAAAGGAAAAGAGACTGTAAGCATGAATTTTAGTAAAATGCTGAAGATATGTAAATCATAAATTAGAGATACTTTCTGCACAGGTGAAAGCTATGACTGGATTTGCATGACATGACAAACCATTGTGGGTAACCTGCCACGGAGGATTCTCATGTCATGTGAACCTGGACTACTTCCTGCATGGTGAGTTGCATGTGGGCAGTGAGCCACCCTTGCCCATTTATGGCTTGTTCTAGGGTTTGTCAGATCCATAATAATTCGTCATTTTGTCCATATCCAGGTGTCCAACCATACCATAAGTTCAGGGAAGTGGTGAGCAAACCACTCAGGTTGAGTAGAGAAGAAATATCTCTTGACATTTTGCGAAGCTCACTGAAGACACTGCATTTTGGAACAGCTGTTGTTAACTCTCGGCAGAAAATAGAAGATTAAATGGAGGGAGTCAGATATTACTACTTTCTTAATCTTACAGCCTCCAAATATATTCATCTGTAAGCACATACCAGGGCTTAGTTGTATTCACTAGGCATTTTTGTCAAGCTATCTCCTGATTTGTTTCTTGGCTCTCAGCTCCAGTTTATACCTTTGAGCCATATGAGTTCTACCACAATGCTCAAGAGCGATTGTGTCAAGTGATTGTGTATTCCCAAGAACGACCAGGGATTCTACAGGGCTGCCAGCCATATCAGCCAGGAGTATGCAGCTCTGAATAGCTGAAAAAGGAAAGCTGGCCTGGACAATGGCCTCAAAAGTGCCCGCTCTCAAAGTGTTATCAGACACCAGCTATGGACATCGGCAAGGAATGCCTACAGATAAATTATTTTGTAATTTTGTGGTTACTTGACAGCTGTCAGTTGGAGAGCTGTCGAGGAAAGGCAAAGCTGTAAGGGGTGTTTTTTTTTCACATGATAGGATAGCAGCTTCCTCCTTTTGGTACAGAAATCCTCAGGGTTTTAGCCCTCCCCTCCCCATTGTTCCCGGCTTCTGTACATCTTCATCACCCTCCCAAGTTGCCCCTACTTGGGAAAGTGCTAATCGCACAGGTGCCCCTTTTTTCAAGGACTTCTTTTAAAGCTCTGGCAAATCTATCGTTTGGGTTTTGACCTGGAAATGTATAGCCATGAATCTGCACATATTTTCCTGTCAAAACTCAATTTTGAGCACAATTTTTAAAAGGAAGCAAATTTCCTTGTCCAAAAAAAAGTGCTTGAATTTGTCAGGTAGTTAAAATTATTTTAGCAGTAAGTAATTATTTCAAAAGTAAGTGCTTGTGAAAATGGAATGCCAGTCCTTTTCAGGGAAAAAACCCCATTGCTACATTACTTTTCAGTTGATTGCTTGACAGCTGTGAGATGTGTGCAAAGTAATGTATATACACTCTCTCAATCAATGCCTATTGATGTTGCTACTGCACTTTAGCAGCAAATACTTTCTAGGACATTGGCCAAGCAGGACTTCATCTTTCACAAAGATGTAAATATGCATCTGCAAAAGACTACAATATACTCCCTCAAAGAAATAATCTCAGTTGTGCACATTTCTGCCCTCCCACCAAATAGTATGAGCATTTTTACATGAATGCTGAATCTCAGAGACTCTCAGTATAAAATACCAGAAACTGAAGGTGGAAACAAAATAAAAGAAATGAAAATAGGAGTGCAATATTTTTTCTTTCCTGCCTGACAAACTAAGCTATCCTATATTGACCCTGTCTGCATTTATTTTGGTTCCCGTACAGATTCAGAAATTTCCCTTCACATATTATCATTAACACCCAAGTAATTAATTGCCTAGTTCATCAGGGGAAGTCTCAAAAAGTGCCATTGTACTACAGAAGACAGGAAGAAAAAGAAGTAAAGCCACAGTAAATTTTGATGTGAACTTCAAGCATGCTCTCAAACAGTTGCAGTGCATTGACCAACTAGAAATCTCTAAGTGTTGGCCAGTATAGTGGCAATAATCACTCCCGAATTTCTGGGCATTCTTGCCACCACAGCAGCAGTTACAGTTTGTATGTATGGCTAGAAATATTTAGTTGTCATACAGGCATCTAAACACTTTTTGTGGGAAGTGAAGCGGGGTGAATTCAGGTCCAAGATAGTGAAGTTGCCATTTCTAGATTTTAAAAGCAAATTAACATATCATTGCATAAGTTTGATGTGTGTGTGTTTAAATCCCATTATCCATGTCTGGATTTCCAGTTGGTAACTGTAAGGCATACTCACTGAAAGTCTCTTCTGTGTTTTCTCAATAACAAATAACTTTGTGGCTATCTTTAATATTTTGTTTATTGATGTAGGTTTAGTGTGATTAGGTTTGTGTGTGTGTTATCACTTCGTTTAACTCTTTAAAACAAACAAACAAATGAGCAACTTTCCCCTAAGGCTTCTCTAAAAATTCAATATTTGTCAGATATGTGAAAAATTAATAATGACGTCTTAAATCCCAAGTTGTTAACAAGTGCGAGTTTTATGATTTATTTCTAAAGTAAGACTGAGTTCAGAATTACTAGCTGAAGAATTAGGGGTGTATGCAATTAGTGTCCCTCCACTGAAAGAAGGCTTTTTGATCCAGCTGATGCTTTTGTCAGATGAATGGGGAGGAAGGTAAACCAAGGAAGCTGAATGGCAGGAGTTTCAGAATAGATAAAAGAAATACTTTTGAATACAGTGAAGCTGAATGGCAGGAGTTTCAGAATAGATAAAAGAAATACTTTTGAATACAGTGCTTAATTAAACTGTGGAATTTGGTGCCACAAGTTGAGTAATGGGCACCAATTTCAATGGCCTTAAACAAGGTCAGATTCATGGAGGATAGCTAAATGCTGTGTCTAGTACCAGAGTACCAGTTACTGGGGAACATGAGCAAGGGATGCTGTGGCAAACAATTCCTTTTTATTTATTCGATTTACATGGTGCCCTACTAGCCATAGGCTCTCTGGGCAATTTATATCATATTAAAATCATAGACCACATAAAATAGTACAAAGCACAACACAACAATACACAGTTACAAAGGACCAATAGGCTATCCAAGTTCAATAAAATCAAAATAAATAAATAAAATATAATTTTGGTCTTCTCACAAACAACTAGTTGCTTGGCTACAGTGTAAACAATACTGGACTACATGGACTCTTGGACTGATTCAGCATAGGTCTTCTTACAGTCTAATTGCATGTAAAAGCTTAGGTCTAGGATTTTGCTTCCTTCATTTAATTTTCTAATGAACATTGCAGCTTTTTTTAAAAAAAACACGTATTTTGTTTTAAATTATCCATTTTTTTGTCAGTGTGTGTATCTTGGTTTGAAATTTATGTTCAAGTTAGCAAATCAAGTTAGCAAGTCAGAGGAGTTGTTAATATGTTCCATGAAGCAGAAATTGGGTGGCTTCAGGATACTCACTAAACCACTCTGGGAGTAAGCTAAAGAGTGAGTTGTTAGAACAACCCACTGTGTGCCCAACAGACAATCAAGTTCAGAATAACCTCCAGCTGATATCTCAGTGTCCTTCTTGGCAGAACTTTTTCTGTCCTTCCCTCTTAGATTGCTGCCCTCTTTAATTCATAGCTTTTGTGTTTTAGTTGTTTTCACTGCTTTTCCATTTACATCTGGGCAACTAGAGTCTTTGGGAACTGTGTGAAAATTGACCTATATACATACTCTTGTCTGTATGTTAGCTGTTCACCACTACCTTTGTCAGCAGAAACAGACAAGAAAATTGACAAGAAAGGCTGCTGCTATTAGATAGCCATAAAGGCATCCTTGCAAAAGACAAATAAATACATAGATGCACAGTTGTGCACAATGTGCTGGGATCAAATTATATTTTTCAAGTGAACCAGTGATGGCTATTCCAAAATGCTGCTTGGCATCAAAGAAAGAGCTGTTACTGGTAGGGTATGGATAAGATTGCAAAAAAAGGGTTGCTCTTTACAATGGCTTACTAGCCCCCCTCCCCCAACCCACAATGGAATTGGTCTCCCAGGTTTGGGTGACTCAGGAGCCCATTCTTGTACAAATAATCCCTAGAACAAGCCATGGGTTATCAGGGTGGCTTTTTCTTAAAAATGTAAGGCACCCTGCAAGAAACAGTCTGATATGGATGACCCAATAGGCTACCACACCTCATTAACCCAAGATGGGTTGTTGTGTTGTGTGAACCAGCTCATCATGTGCTTTCAGAATTACATACCATTCACATATTTTACTTGGGGTGCTACCATCCATGCAATGAGAATTATGCCAGCAACACTGACTAAAGAGAGCTTGTAGGCCTTCTAGTTGGAGTTTTGTTTTTTGCAGTAAAGAGAACAATTACGGTTCATAGTGGTATAAATTAGTGTTTGCAAGGCTACATTTGTGGTTTTATCATCTCAAATTTAACTGGTCATTTAAGTCCTCTAAACTCTAAAAGTTTTTCCACATAAATGCATTGAGAAAATATCTATCATGAATGAATTGACCAAAGCAGGTCAATTTGAACCCAATCTGTACTAAACCCAAATTAGTTTCTTTTAACCCTCATCCCAGTCAAACTTCCAGACCCCATCCTAACTATCATCGAGATTGTGTTGGGTTCTAGAAGCTTGCTTGCTTTCAGCTCCCCACTTCTTCCCTCTAATTGTAAGGGAAGGAAGCAGAGAGGGTGTTGCTGTTCATGCCTGTATTAAGTTTGCCATTAAGAAATGTCTTGCCTCAAAGATCTTTGGGAAATACAAATGTCTTTGCTTTTAAAACCCTTCTAAGGGCAGCAATGTTACAGAAAACTTATTACCTGATAAATTCTTAGTATGAACTTTTTTCCCTGGTAGGCGAGCCAGTGCTGCACTAAATTGCTTAAAACGCTTTCATGAAATGAAGAAACGAGGACCTAAACCTTACAGCCTTCATCTAGATCACATTGTTCAGAAAGCCATGTCAACACATCAGCGAAGGGATCAATATCGGGTGCAGAAAGATATCTTTAGTCTGAAGGTAGATATATCTTATTGAGATGTCTGTTTTCTGTTTTCCATGATTTTTGTACAAAACATTTAATTTTGTTTATTGTATTAACCTGTATTTTTCAGTCTGGAGGTTTAACCTGGATTACCAGGAATTTGCTGTTTAAACACAAACCTCTCTGGAGTGTTGAGCAGGTTGAGTGGGGAGTCAGTTTCACTAGAATTTGACCCATCTTGCACTTTGGTTTGGTTTTGTGTGATTTTTTTAAATCAACTGCAAACATGCAGTTACAGCTTCCTAAAATATTTTATATTGCCTTCTAACATGGAGCTAAACAAAGAGTAAAATAGCTTTCTTTTCTTTTGCTGTAAAAGGATACAGAGGAAGCATTGTTGTTAAATCTGAAAGATAGCCAGGTTCTTCATCACAAAGAAAATCTTGAGTGGAACTGGAATCTGATAGGGACCATACTTAAGGTAAGCTGTGAAACATTGAGAATGCATTGAAATAAAGGGAATTGATAGGACTGCTGCTATGGTGTAGTAGTTTAAGCAGATCAAGCCGCCACTCAGCCACAAAGCTCACTGGGTGACTTTGAGCCAGTCATTGACTTGGTTCACATGACACAACAGCACACTGTACATTAATGCATTTTGCCAGTTATCTGCTGGCACCATTCCTGCATGCTGCTCATAAACTCATAGAATAGTAGAACTAGAAGCGGCTAGAAGGCCATCTGGACCAACACCCTGCTATTGCATGACACTTAAGTTACACCATCCCATTTAGATGACTGTCC